TGATCAAACCATTCGAATTATAATATGGGATAATTTTTCACGGCTTTGCCTTGATTTGTGTAGATCCTGTCTTCCCGTTTCCGAAAAGTACTTATAGGCCGAAAACGGATTAACGAGTCAAAAGTTACGACCAAAACAAGATTGTGCGATACACAAAAACAACTCATCAGCCGGCGGTTGCCAAAATAATTCGGATCTCATCCGAAAAATTAGAAACCAAATCTCCTAAAACTGAAAATAATATTCTGAATATAAACCATATAAAATTCAAAAATTTGAATATTCATGTCATTCAGATCTGTTCCGAACAATTAGGCAATGAGGTTTTATCCAATTCCTAATTCCATTCAGATCTGATCCGAAAAAATAATAAATAATATCATAAAATATTCTTAACATAAATTATGAGTATCAATTCGGATCCAATTCAAACTATTGAATTTTCATGTCCATTCAAATCTCTTCTGAATAATTAGGCAACATGATTTTATCCAATTCCTAATTTCATTCAGATCTAATCCGAAAAATAATAAGTAATATCATAAATAATTCTTAACATAAATTATGAGCATCAATTCGGATCCAATTCAAGCTATTGAATTTACATGTCCATTCAGATCTCTTCCGAATAATTAGGCAGTAGAATTTTATCTAATTCTTAATTCCATTCAGATCTGATCCGAAAAATAATAAATAATATCACAAAATATTCCAAATATAATTGTGAATATATTGGATCAAATTCTAAATATTCGAACATCACATTCTTACAAAAAATTGGAATATAAAATACACATATAAATTTCGAAATGAATCAAAAACTAATTCCGAAATTAATAAAAATTAATTCCTAAAAAAACCCAAAATACTCAAATTAGTGATTATATATTAAATCAGGTAACCCAAATATAATAAAGAACTGCAGGCTCTGATACCACTGTTGGGATTCGGGCAGAAAAATCACAGCGGAATAAACAAAAAAAAATACTGCTCAAAAGTAAACAACCGAATTTGAGATTCTTACTATAAACAAAATTATAATACATAAGAGGAACTTACATAGCAATCTTAGGAAAGGATGTCAGACAGTCTGAGAAAACGATCCCGAGCTCTACCGGTATCCACACGCACGTGGCTGGATCGGTCACATGGAACGTGCTAGCGTTCTCTTCTCTCTCTCTCTCTAGGTTTTGAGATTTCAATTTTAACTCTTAAATTTGTGGGTCTCTTTAGCCTTATTTATAAGAGAAAGAAAGAAGGAGTTTTATAGTTAAAACTCTCATGGAGGCCCCGGTCCAATACCATCCAAAAACCTATTTCGAATTGGGCTAATCAGGCTATTTTAATGTTATTAACGAACATTAATGATCCAAATCACTTAGGTATGTAACCCTGTAGGTTTATATATCGTTGGCTGTGAGCTAGAATATTAGTTCAAGCCTCACAAATAATAAGCGGCCTCTAGCAAAACATTATGACTATCCAAAATATATAAATGTCAATTAAATTTGACATAACTTTTTAATGATTAATTTGTGTTAATAATTCTCTTTTGTCAAACGATATCTTAATTGAGACAAGGTTAGGTTGTGTCATCCTTGTCGTTCTCAATTAATTTTTCTTGATTACCAAGTAAGATTAATCTTTAACAAATGACACCTCATTTGAGCATGGTCATTCTAATTAATCTTACTTGTCAATTGGCCCAATAGATATCTTTCTCTCGCTATATGTGAGTGACAAAAACTATCTTGATAATTCACATACCACTGCATGATTATGTCAAGGAGCCCAATAGATATCTTTCTCTCGCTATACGAGAGTGACAAAAACTATCTTGATAATTCACATATATACCACTGCATGGTTCATAACATGTACAATCACCACCTTTATAATTACCCATTTAAAGATAACATTTAATGGTGTTAATACATATTAATTCATATGCAAGTAACCATGATTATCTCAAGTATAAGAATATAACACCTCATCATTATTGAGGACAACGTTAGGTTGTGTTAACACTGATGATATATAATCTAGCAGTGTCCTCAACTTGAGTCTGTCCAATGAACTTGTTCACTAACAAGTATCTATGTTTTTTTCAAAGGAATCAGATTGTTAGTGTAACAAGTATCTATGTTATTAACTTGATATCTCTATAACATGACTAGTGGAATATAGCCATCAGTTAATTCACATACTAGTCTATTAATTATTAATGTCCCAAATTAATAATATTAGACCAGAGACAATTAGAATATTATGCTTATTTTAAAGTGTAGCATTCCACAATTAAGTCACGTACTTAATTAGCTACTAAACATAATATTCAGGGACTAAATATTAATAAAGAAAACTCACAATAATAATTAACATAAAATGAGCATTAAATATTCATTGATAAATCATAAACTATGATTGTCCTAGGGCATACTTCCAACACCTATGCTTGTACCACATAGTACTGACTGTGCCGTTTGTGTAACGATTAATGTTGTTACTCATTAATAAAGAAACCAAAATTCTTGAGCATTCTTGAAACTTTAAGTTTTCGATCTTTTTAATAAAAATAAATTTGGATTCTTATGCTTCATTTATTCTTGTTGAACTGTGTATTGTTATATGATTTACATTTGTTTCATTTATTTATTTAATTGTTTCTTATCATACTTCGTATTATATATACAGAGGAAATTACTCACGGTAGGACTAAAACATATTACCTCCGTCCCGGTGGACTTTGCCAAGTTTTAAGTAGGTGAAAAATAAGAAAAGTAAAAGCTGTGTGTTTGAGGTTTGTGTAGAGGAGAGAGAAATATGCAGAACCACAAATTAGTTTCTTTAATAAGAAAGTGACAAAGTTTTTTAGAACAACCAAAAAGAGAAAGTATATTCATATGTTTAATTTTCCTTAAATAGGACTAAATATTGAATATTCACCCCTAATTTAATTAATTAATTAATAAAAAGAGAAAGTGGACAAAAAGATATTTTTTCTTAAAGTATAATCATATGTTTAATTTTCCTTAAATAAGACTAAATACTACATATTCACCCATAACTTAATTAATTAATTAAATTAATTGTCCCTAGTTCCCTTGCATAACCAAAGCTATTTTGTTGGTGACGAATCAGTTCGACGGCAACAAGGAATTCCGGTGACGGAGGCCGATAAGTAGAGGTAGTCACGATTTATGTGAAAATTCTGACGACCAGCAGTGATAGACCACATTTAAAAGTCTATGGATTTTTTGAAAGTCAATAAATTTATACATAAATTTAAAAGTCAATAAAATTCATTCATAAAAAAAATTAATGATTTAAAAGTTTAGGGATTAAAAAAACTACACCACAATCCATATTCGATACACCACTAGTCAGGATTGTTTCATTTTGATGGACGATAGACTAAAATGAAAAATATTACAAAGTACATGGATGAAATGGAGTATTAGCTTCTCCATTTTAGCCGACTCACCTCAGGAAGTTGAACACAAAGCTTAATCGAAGTACTATGCAACCTTCAAAGCCCACTCTGTAGCCCAGCTGGATTTGGGCAATATTGAGGCCTGGTATGACAATTGTCGTAGTTTACCTTAGCTTCTTGGATTAGAAGATCCGTTGTTGCTGATTAGTTGGGCTTTCCCTTTTTAGACCTTTTTTAGAAATAGTTAATTCCTTCTTTTATTTTATTGTATTTCGGATTTTCGTGTCAGGTTTAGCCCTCTCGAATTTTCTTTTGTTTTCTATTTGGAGGAGGTATGCCTCCACTTGAGAGGTTTGTTCTAGTCTCATTCTCTTTCTTGTATTCTTCATTTTTATTTAATAAAAATCGATAAATGTTCTCTGGCATTTGCCTCATCTATGAGTGGTTCGGTTCACCTATCGGGTTCAAAAAAACATGAATGAAAAATAAAAAAAAATATTTTTGTAAGGATGTAAAACAAAATATAATATATTTACGGAGACTAATAACATATGGAGTATTTAAACCTTTCATAGCAATACTCGAAAATTGATCAATAAACACATTTTGTATAATTAAACTTTTTGTGTCAATAATGCACCACTCCAATTTTGTTGCAAAATCTGTCAAAAAATTTGTAACCATTGAAGAACCTTTAATATAATGAGATATAACTCTGAGCCTGTTCTTTCAAAAAAAAACTCTAAGCTCATCCATAGAAGTCTGAAATCAGTTCGCCGCGTCAAGATTTTATTGGGACCTAAAAAGGCTGGAAAAAAGATGGCCCAATAAATTCAATTTGTGTTTAAATATTCAAGTCACAAACCTTTAATACAATATCGGGGTAATCAGAAAATAACTTAAATTCACAAATAGTCATTATATATTTTAAATAGGAGTAATTGTCCTATATAGGACTAAAATTAAACTTAATTCCCTAAATAAGACTCTACCTTTTTAATTTTCTAAATAGAATTTCGTATTATCATTACACTCTTCTATATAATAACAAACCCTAATTCCTAAACACTCATCTCCTTATACCATTTACTCATTGTTTTAGTCCTATTCAGAGAATTCACTCATTTTTAAACTCATCTAAACGTGCATGTAAACACTATAAACACATGGCTATATCCACTTGCATGGCTCATTCCATTTTGTGTTTACCAAGGTTATATAGTTTATCATACATTTCTTTAATTCCAGTAGAGGGTTTTGGTATTATCTATTGGAGTTATCCTTCAACTTTTTGGTGAATTTAAAGGACCAAACAACTTGTATTTGGATTTTGGATTGATCATGAAACTTGGATTACATTTTGTCTACCAACACAAACATAGTTCTTTGTATACTTCATATTCAATTACAGAAGTTCTTTGTACATAGACAACTTTGCCTTTATAGACATGGAACATGTGTCAAAGATGTATACAAAAAATGTGTAGATCAAACATTTTTCATATTCAATTTTATTGTACGGACCAAATGTTGAGCCAACCCGAAGAACGTAGCACTGGTTGGGTGATATATAGACAATTTCATTACTTCAAAACTATAAGTCGAAACATTTTTTATATATTTATAAGCCATATACTACGTATAAAATACAAAATGTTGAATGAAAAAGAAAACTAGAGCGATTGATCAAACAAAAAACTTGTACAGTGTAAAAAAATACTTCTATCCCATTGTTTGAATCAACCACTACCTTCTCTTGTTCTTGCTACCTAGCAACAAACAGAAATAAAACAAAATCCTGAAGAAAAAGCCCCAAGCTATGGTGATCCACAAGCAGTTCCATTTGCTAAGATCTGTCACTCCTTGTTGCGCCAGTATATCGGCTCCGGTGGTCACACAAGTTGTGTTGGTGATCTGAATGTTAAGCGTTCCACTCATGCTACTCAACAGCTTCTCTTTCATCCCCGACGAGACTCCGTTTAGCGGCGTATTGTCAAACATTTGGATCCCTCGGACGAAGCATTTCGTCGGGTTGTCGAACTCGTTCTGCAAAACCGCCTCGTAAGGGTACTTAATGAGGGAAAGGTAGTGAAACCAAATCCAGTAGGGTGGGATACGGTTCCGGTTCATGAAAAAGCCGCTGAAAAGGAGGAAATAGGCAAGAATCGCCACCACGATAGTGTACCCGATCATGACATGTGGGACGATGCCAGAAAGGAACGTAACGAATGAGTTTCCGGCCCAGAATGAGGCGAGTATGATGCCTGTGTAGAAAAAGAATCCAGACGGTCCGCCCGCTAGGCCGACCGCCCAGAAAGTCAACACCGCAAAGGCGAGCGAGAGGAATACCAATGCGGGGATCGACACGAGCGCGTGCGAGAGGCAGTAAGATGATCTCCGGTACGCGTTGTGGGCCGTTTCCCGCATGAATATAAACCGCTCTTGGATAAAAACCGGAAGCGCGTCAGCGCACGTGTAGAACGTGGTCGACATCGCGAACGCGAAGAACCCGAGCCGCTCTTGCACACCCTTGGGGGAATTGTCCAGCCGCCAGAACATAGTGGCTAAGATGAATCCCGTCACCACCACCGCGCCCAACCGGGTTGCGAAAAGAGCCGGCATTCTTCTAGAGTTCTTGAATGACCGGTTTGACAGGACCGCGATTTCCGTCCAGAACGGGTTGGCAAAAGTAGGGACCATCCACTTACTGTTAACGTCCTTTGTGGATCCGGAAACTAATTTCCCACGAGATATACTCGCTCGGATGGCTTCCATCAATGTTAAGCCGTGAACCGGGGTGTATCCGGTCTGGTTACTTGTTCTGCTCTGCCATGTCCGGTTGAACTCGGCCAGACTCTTGGTTCCTCCATGCGAAGCCTCCAGTTCCTTGATGAGATCAAGAGCGAACTCGGTCCGGTTTTCGTTCTCCGGGATCGGGTGGCCAAAATCAGAAAAGAACCGCGGCAAATCGGTTGGCGAACCACTAAAAACCGTCTGTCCTTTTGAGAGGAAAAGAACCCGGTCTAATAACCCAATGATCCGGTAACTCGGCTGGTGAATTGACATGATCACAATGCTTCCGCTCTGGGCAATTTTCTGGAGAACGTTGACAACCAAGAAAGCACTGGTGGAATCGAGACCGGACGTCGGCTCGTCCAGAAAAAGAAGGATCGGGTCGTGAATTATGTCTATTCCGATCGACACGCGCCGCCTTTCTCCGCCAGAGACGCCACGGTGTCCTTCGTCCCCAATCACCGTGTTCGCAGCGTTACGGAGGCCCAATTGGTCAATCAATGCATGTACTCTCATCCGCTTTTTCGCTACGGAGTGGCTCCGCGGAAGCCGAAACTCCGCCGCATACATGAGCGTTTCCTCCACCGTGAGCATGGGATACAACAGGTCATCTTGCATTACATAAGCAGATATGACTTTCTGTAGTTTAGAGTCCAACCGCTCGCCGTTAAGCGTTATAGTTCCTTTTAAGCTCCCCTTGGCGATCCGATTAGCGAGGGCATCGATGAGGGTTGACTTCCCGGACCCCGACGCGCCAAGCACGGCCATGAGTTCTCCATCACGCGCCTCGCCGGAGATGTCATTGAGAAGAGTTTTCGCGACCGCTTCGCCTCCCGAATTCATCCCGCTCCGGCCACGGAAAATCGCCGGAATCACCGTCCTATCGCGGATCTTTACGTTGTAGGTGAGGTTGTTGAAGGAGAGAACAAACGGAAGTGGCACTCTCGGCTCCAACCCGCTGGCGGAATCGCTGACGTCAAGAAGACGGTGCACCGGAGCTTCATCTTCGGCGACTTCTTTACGAGCACTGCCAACAAATTTGAAGAGATTAGCGAGGGATTTCGACGATGATGACGTCACCCCATCGGAGCCGGGCATATCCACGACGGCGGATTGTCCGTGATCATAAATGGGTTTGTGATCTCTTGCCGGCGACACACTTTCCGCCACTACCCGAGACATATTATGGACAGAATTCTTGGAACGCCGTTAAAACAACGGCGTTGGAAGCTATAGTATAGGATTTGTGGGTATTTCAAGTAGGTGATGGGGGGTTGTGTTAGATATATTGTTCGCACCAAAACCCTAGCTACTAGCTTAAGGCATGAGATTGAATATTTATATAGACAGATACAAATATGTACAAAATACTTTTTTCTTTTGTGTAAGTTTGACTTTTTTCTGTTGGTTGGTCCAAGTGTATGTAGACATACATGTATGTTTATACTAGGAAGTACGTAATAAAGTTCCATTTTTCTCATTATATCTAAATATGTCTTGATAGTATATTACTCCGTATATACTTGGTATAATATACAGAGTACACATTTCATTTCATTTTCATTTAGAGGTAATTACCTAAATGGGAGTAAATACATCTTTAATTGCCAAAATAGGACTAAAATTTAAAAATTCCCAAAATAGGAGTTATTAATTGTAATTGGACAAAAACACCCCTGAAGCTTGGAAAATCGTACTGCCACCGACAGAACGCCAGACTGCCTCAGGTTGCTGGCCGCCGCTGACGGCCGCTGCTGCAGAATGGTCGCCGTTGCATATCTGCCCGCGTCCGCCGCAAATCTGGCTGCGTCCACCGCAGATCTGGCCGCCGACACCGTAGATCAGGCCACCGCCACCAGCCCCCGGCCGCCCCTACAGATTTGGCCGCTGTCAGTACAAATCCGACCTCCGCCACTGCACACCCGGCCTCCGCCGCTGCAGATCCGGCCAACGACGCCGGTTATGCCAACATTTTATCAAAATGCCATCATAAATTGAGAATGCCATCTAAATGACATTTTCAAAGGAAAACATGAAATTTTTTGAAGAGGATGAATGCCATTTTTATGGCATTTTCAAACGAGATATGAAATTTTTTAACAACCAAATATGAAACAGAGCTTTGGTCATGCAACGAAAAGATGAATCAGGGATACCATTGTAATGGCATTTTTAAAGGAAAATACAAAATTTTTGTAAAATAAGAATACCATTTTGATGGCATTTTCAGTGTTGAACTTGATATTTTTTACCAATCAAAGAAGAAATCGAGCATCTGCAACGAAATAGAAGAGGGAGAAAACTGGAGAAGAGGGGAGGAAGGAGAGAACCTACCTTCGAAGAAGAGAAGATCTCCGACGGCGACGACGACGGCGACGGTGATGGCTATGACTGGGCAGTGGCGGAGAACTTCACGTCAACGGCGGCAGGCTCGACGCTTTGGTTGTTCCAGTGCGAAGGGGAAGGAGAAGAAGGTGTATTGCACAAGAGGGAGATACGCAGGGGAGAAGGGGAAGAAGATGTGCCGCAGGGGAGAAAAAGAAAAGGAAGAGGGGAAAGGGAAAGAATAGGGGTAAATGGGTAATCTAGTCCCATTTAGGGCAAAAAAATATGATTAGTCCTATTTAAGAGTTTCACCTATAATTTAGTCCCTTTTAGGGCAATATTTCTTTCATTTACCCAGTGCCGCAAAGGCTCCCCACCTACGGTGAGGTAAGGGGTTGGATGTACGCAGTCTTACCCCTGTACTAAAGTACAGAGAGATTGTTTCGGGATTATCCATAGTGAAAATCCCGTCCAAAATTGCATGGACTGACTGTTGTTTCATAACAAAGAAACGGAGACAATTTAGTGAGTCATTTTGCTTTATTCCATCATAATCTTAAGCCGAAAAATAATGAATATTTTGCTCTATTGCAAATGATGGAAATAGAGTACACATTATAGGAAATAAATTTATTTGGATTGATGAGGAAGCGCTCCAGCCCAGCTGGTCACCGACTCACTCTTCCTTACGGGAGGTCTCGAGTTCGAAATTTAATGGGTTGAGTTTCAGCCTATATTGCTCCAGACAATCTCAACCCTCCTCCCCCAATCCCCCATATTCCCCCATACATTTGAAGATTAAATTATTGTTCTTACAAAAATAGGATCACATGCTTTATTTTCAATTTACAAAAAATTATTTGGATTGATTAGAAAAGTAGAATCAAGTATGAAAGGGTGGCCTAAATCAGCTAGACTTTTACTCGGTATTAATGAATATGCAACACGTTTTGATTCGAATAATCGAGATGGGGTGCGGTATGGGAGGGTGTGGGGTAGGGGTACGTGGAATGACCGTATTGGACAAGAATTTGGTTGCTTACGGTTGTGAAAGTGGGCGAGGACGGTAATCTACTTGTAGATCAAGCAATTCGACCAAAACAAAACATGGCTGCACCTTCCTTTTCTTTTAGCCCTTATTTACCACAAAAGATCCGAATAATAATTTTATAAATTCAAGGCTAGGAGGTAAAGATTCCTAATATAAGGCTACTTTTTTGTTTGCTGTTCTTTTCGTTCTACTTTTTAGAAATTTGTTTGTTTCTTGATAATGGTTTTTTCTTCAATTTTTTGTTTTTATTTAGTGTACATATCTCAATATACACTAGAACTCTAAGAGCCCGTTTGGTAACACTAAAAATTGGTTGAATTGGCTGATTCTGCTGAAATTTATGAAGTTCTGACTGAAGTGGCTGTATTGGTTGATTCTGCTGATTCATGAAAAAATTATATTTAAAATATTTGTTATTAATAATAAATAAAATAAAAAATTGTATGAAAAAATAGCTAAAATGATCATCTACAGTAACTTCAGCCAATACAGCCAGAAAAGTAACTACAACCTTACTTTTTCTGCTTATTACACAATTCAGCGCGCGAAATCAAAAATTACGTGTTTGGTGAAAAAGCTTGCTAATAAGCCTGATAAGCCGAAAAAAGGGTCACCAAACGGGCTCTAAAAGTACTCGTATAATGAATTTTATGATCTAATCAATCTTCAAAGTTCTGATTAATGAAATGATTTGCTCAATTCAGGGTAATTATCAGGGGCGGACCCACCCTAGGGCTAGGGGGTGCACGTGCCCCTGCGGTGATTTATATATATATATATATATATATATTGGAAAATTCTCAGGTCCAGCACCTCCCGGTCCGAACGCCGTCCGAACACGGCCGTTTGGGACGGTTCTAGGTGGATTTTTTTGATGAAACTTTTTGAGCATGTTCCTCATCAATTCTAGTTTATCCATACCAAATTTCAGGTCAAAATTCGACCGGGAAGGCAGTCAAATAATTCCTTGAAGTTAACTGCGTTTTTCTATGTATAATTTGGCGCAGTTAACTTCAACGAATTATTTGACTGCCTTCCCGATCGAATTTTGAGCTGAAGTTTGGTATGGATAAACTAGACTTGATGAGGAACATGCTCAAAAAGTTTCATAAAAATATTCCGCCGGGAACCGCCCCAATCGCCGGTGTTCGTACGGCGTTTGGACAGAAAAGTGCTGGACAGAAAAGTTACGCCGATTGAGACTTATGATGTTAATATTAGAGATGAGTTGACTAGACGTTATTTGAGAAAAGGTCCTTGCCAACCGCGTGACTTTAAATTTCCACAAAGTGATTTTAATGGGTGCAACAGATCATTCGTTTTATTTAAATTTTATAGTTTTGTTTATTTCTATACTCGTGATGCATATGATTTTTTTCTAGACTAGTATATCATTTCTTTGTTATTGTGCCCCTGCGAGTCACGAGTCCTGGTTCCGCCACCGGTAATTATGTCAGAGTTGCTGAGAAGACATTTGGGTGATTATGAGTTTAGGGAGGGGAAGTGTTCTCATTACTATGAATATAATGTAATACTACCTCCGTCCCTTAAAACTTTGCCAAGTTTGACCGACACGGGGATTAATAAAGTAAAAATTATGTGGTTGAGGTTTGTGCAGAGAAGAGAAAATTAACTGGAATCACAAATTCTTTACTTAAAAGGGAAAGTGGCAAAGTTAGTGGGACATCTAAAAATGGAAAGTTGGCAAAGTTTTAACGGACAGAAGGAGTACGTAGTACTTTAGTACTATTGATATAATGTCAGAGTTGCTGAGAAGACATTTGGGCTTTTGTTCGCACTGTTCGGGTTATAATTTTCATGATTTCATGTTTTTGTTTATTCATTGTTAATGTTACAAAAAGACTAACCATTTTGTTTAATAAAATTATATTTGCATTACTATATGTAAAGGAGTGAGTTCAAGTAAAAAGTAGTTGTCTCATATATGAAAAGTGATAATAAGTTTTGCCCTTTAATCACTTGTAATGTCTTGAACTTTAATTATTCGACACGATTTCAAAAATAGTGCAAATGTTTACAGGACAAAGTGGATAGTTAATGAACAAAAGACACTCATGAGTGTTAAAAAAGATTTGTCAAATTTTTCTAACTTGTGCGCCTTTTATTTTGTATTGTGATACGTTTTTATGCTCTACATGTACAATATCTGTATATTACTATACACATTTTTGATAATATTTTCATTAAAAGTTTTTCATAATTATCAAAACGGTTTGTGACAGTACCCTTGATTTAATTAGGGTAATCTTTTTGAAGTTTGTTTGATTCATTTACTCATACTCAAGTTCATTACTTATAAACAAGATTTATATATACCCGCAACGATTTGGTATGAAATACTTCGTAACTAAATAATATACCCAACCATGGGCTACTTCTTCTAATTAACCATAATTACTTAAGTGATGATAATAGTAGACTAAAAACCTAAATTTAATATCTAAATACTATTTGGTCATGCAAATAAAGTCGTGTAAGTTTTCCACTATACATAAATATCAGTACTGATCAAGTGAATAAAGTCGTGTAAGTTTTCTACTATACACAAATATCAGTACTGATCAAGTGAATAAACACATACTCCAAATCTTTTATGAATTTTGTCAAATTCACATCAAAAATCCCTGTCAATCCCATATTTTTTATAGTGTCAGTCAATTACGGAGTATCATTTAGCTTCTACATAACTTTGTGGTTTTATCCATCATCAGTATCAGATCCTCTTTTTTCCTCAGGAAGATTTTTTAAAATTTAATGAGTTTCTTAATTTGTGTTATATTTTCAAGGAAAAATCACAATTTTAGTCTTTGAAATAATCACCATATTGAAATATCAAACTTGTGTTCTCCAGTCTCTAAATGTCACCTCTCAATTATCTAAAGGGAAAGGGGGGCAAATAAGCTCTCA